CCAACACAGAGAAAGGACTTACTATTCCTGGTTCCTGTTTGGTTCCTTGGAGGTGAGCTGTGGCTGGCCTGCATGTACTCTTCACGGGGACCAGAGAAGGAGCACCCCTGACTGGGACATGCGGTCTCACGGCACGGACAAGAGAGAAAAGGCAGACCAAGGCCTGATGTAAAGCTTCTGCTGGGAAATGGCATGTGTCCTCACCGTTCACACTGTTTTGGCCAAAGTTAAGTCCTATGGCCAAGAAAGCCCCTGGGGCCAACCCTCACTGGGGTGAGAAAGTGAGATGGAGGGTGGGTAGGAAGGAACAGTGTTTTGACACGGTTTTGACAACAGTGTGATCTACCACAAAGGGAAGAGAAAATGGCTGAGGAAGTGTTTTCTTCCCTGCAGTGAAGATGAAAGAAGCCACCCTAGGACAGAAAGCAGTTCCTCCGCATCACCTTCCAGGTCTTACGATGGCCTCACGACCCTCCCAGCGAAGTCCCCAGACCTGCCCAAGGCCCTAGCAGCCCCTGAACTCCAACTCCAAGTCCGGTGTCGCCTCCCCAAAGCCAGCCTGGGAGGCCTCCGTTTCACCTGCAAAATAGAGATAATCCTGCACTCTTCCTGAGGAAGTTTTTGAGAAATTAGGTAAAACGATGCATTTAAAACATACGAGCACATCAAAGCTCTAGGAAATAGAAGACAGTATTATTATTAAATTATGATACTTGTCTCCTAATCCATATCTTTCCCAAACTGTCTTTACATTTTATTCACAGTTTGTTTATAAGTGTATGAAATACATAAATTAATGATGTTTCCTTTACTTTTCAAAACCACAGTCTCCTCTAATCTTACAGTCTTTTCTATTCATACATACTCTCTTCCTGACTTCCATTAATTATTCACTCCCCAATCTGTTGGTTTCTTAAGGCTCTCAAGACGTTCTGGAAAGCAGAACTATTAATTATCTATTATCTATAACTAATATCTAATTATCTATTATCTATAACAATTAATTAATTACTTCTTCCCCAGACGAGGGAACTTAAGGAAAACTGAAGATACTCAGACTCTTCGTTTGAACTAGGCTACAGATCCCAGTCTGCCTCCCAACTGAGAATGAATAAAGGGCTTGGCATGGGAGAGCCCCATCTTCCACCGACAGCCCCAATTAGTGCTACTTCTCCTTTCTTAGCATTCTGCTCAACTACAATTCACCCCTTCTCCAGACTGACATCTTCCTTTCCCACCTCTGCCTCTTTGCTCACACTCTTTCTTCTAGCCAGAATGTGCCCTCAGCACTGCCCCAACTCTGCTCAAAGATCCTGCCCACAGAACTGGGGAGGTGCACCACAACGCATGCACAAAGATGTTCACCATAGTGTGCTTTCTGGAAGGAGAAGTTGAGCACAACCAAAATGCCCACTCTGGGGACCTGGTTCAATACATTACGGACCACAGAACACGTGAAATGCTGTGTAACAGTAACAAAGGGGATGTCACTGTGTATTCATTAATGTGGCATGGTTTCAGTATACTGTCAATCAAATTAGGTATCAAAACAATATTTATAACAAATAATCCATTTCAGGAAGAAAAAAAGTACATATCTCATTCAGGCTTAGAAAGAGTATGGCAAAATACAAAACAAACAAACAAACCAACCAACCCCAAACAAGGTTAATAATGGTATCTCTAGGTAGTGAAAATGTTGATGAATTTACATTTTTAAAGTTCTTTCCAATTAGCATGGATGACTTTTATAACTTTTAAAATAGGTATTTTAATTAAAAGGCATTAATTATTAAATACCCACTACAAACACCATCTGCTCCTGAAAGTCTCTTTGACCTCACCACTCCTGCCACACAGGTAATTTCTCTCTCCTGGTGGTTTCCAGAATACTTACTATATCTCTTATGACATCAACCACATCTGTTTTGAAATCACGGCTTTCTATGTTCGGACCTGATCAGTTCCTGATGTGGAATGAGCCTGTCTCATTTGCACTGGAATTTACCCTCGTAACCCACGACTCACACTCCTGAGTGTGCTGATGGCACACCATCCATGGCTCTAACATTTGCACGTCTGAGGACCAGACACCTGACAGCTTTCTGATCAAACACTCGTCTACACTGGGGATGTCCGGAAACAGCAGCAGGGGCCTCCTGGGGAGAGAAATCATAAATCAGAATATTTTATGTGTGGTGAGGTTGTTCTGTTGCTTATTTCTCCCAAGTCTGCTTTCACTGTGACCAAAGACACCCTTATTTATCTTGATTGAGACATGGGTCAATATTTCTTAATCCAGAGGTAAGTGTCTCAGACTTCCATCCATCCGTTTCAGCGTGAAAGGGACAAGAACTGCTTTTGCAATAATCCAAGTCTGTCCTTGACTCCGTAGGAACTATAAATATCTATTGTTTTAGGAGGAAATAAATGTCTTAAGATTATGTAAGTCTGCTTCAGGGAATCAACATCAACCAATGTTTTGAAATATCCAAGGCATTTTTTTTTTTTAGGTTCAATAAAGAATGTGTTTTGAGAGCGAGGTGGATGAGATTTAAAATAAAAACAACCCCCACAATCTTAGCTGTCACTTAGCAATTTCAGGCTCCAATTGTTCCCTTGGAAAGGGCAAGCCAGCACGCAGAGGAAACACTGGGCCATCTGACCCAGCGTCCATTCTGCCCTCCATTCCACTCCCCAGGATTTTCATCAAGCCAGCGTGAACTTGAAACTGCCCAGGTATTGTCCTGTTTTGTTTCTCTCTCTCTCTCTAGAAACAAGTCACGTTCATTAAAACTTAATTTCCAAACAAAAGCAAAGCTACACGCCACGGTGCGTGGTCCCCGGAGTGTCCCTACCGGACGACTCAGGTTCAGGGAGCACAGCGAAGCGACAGCAGAAACTCGGAAGGGCGTGAGGCCAAGGGGACCGTGGCAGCCACAGAGCCGGGTTAACACGCCTAAGAAAAGAGGTTGATGCTCGAAACTGGCCTCAGGGCCTCTCCTCAGTTCCAGAAGCCAGGTGAGCATGGCAACATGAGCTACGGAGCACAGATTCAAAAGCAGACCTTGCTTGGACCAATGCAACCAAACTCACACCCCCAGGGCCAAGACAGATAATGGAAGAGATGCTCAGAGATGCCTTCGCCACAGGCAACCTACAGCCAGGGCTGTCCTACCAGCCCTGGGCCCGACCCTCAGACTCTCGGGGTTTCCGGCAAGCCCGTTCCACACAGCCATCGTTCAAAGTGACGTTACAGAAACGTACGATTGAAGTAAATGAGACTAAAAACAAAGGTAATAAAATGCGAACTCACCACTACCTGTTTTACTACGGTTTAGGCTCTTGGTGTTCCTTGCACTCCCTACCGCGTACGCGCGCGCGCGTGTATGTGTGTGTGTGTGTGCGCGCGTGTGTGCGCGTGCACGCGTGTGCGTGCGTGTGTCTGGTATTAAAGGGTGCGCCTGCCCAGCGCTTCTCAGCTCAGCTTGCACTGACCTTGCTGGGGAGGGGAAATCAGCCGCGCAGGGAGCATTTACACCACAGAAATCAGTAAGCACTATAACCCAGTCCTCCGTCTGTCCTCCCTCCAGTTCTCCTTCCACACCCCCTTTCGTCCCTCCTCCCTCCCTGCCCCCATCCTCCCTCCCGTTTCCCCTCCCATCCCTCTCCATCCTCCCTCTGGTCCTCCCTCCTGCCCCCGCTTCGCAGCCGGCCAACTCTTAACCTTTGTCTGCACATCAGTGCCCACAACAGTGACCCCCATGGCCCGACAGAAGCTAAGGAGGTGGAGCTGGTCAGTCTGAGTCAAATATGGGCTTGTGAACTGTACATCATGATATAAATAAAAGGAAGGAAAGCAACTACAGGTGACCCACAAGCCACACTGGGTTGGGGGCACCCACCTCCCACGCAGTCAAAAATCCGCATGTAACTCTGGACTCTCCAGAAACTTAACTACTGATCGCCTACTGATGACATCAAGAGTCGATGAACACAGATATCGTATGCCTCTACGTATTATATACTGTATTTTTACAACAAGGTAAGCTGGAGAAAATGTTACAGTGGAAATCCCAAGGAAGAGAAAATCCATTTAAAGTACCGTAAAATAAAAAAATCCACGTACAAGTGGACCTGGGTGTTCAAACCCGGGCTGCTGAAGGGCCAGCCATACTTCTATTGTGGCCCCATAAGGCACCGTCAGAGCACAGAGTACTACCCACAGTCTTTCCTCTCATGAGAGGGATGATCGAGTCCACTATACAGAGGTTGAGAGGCGGAATAACTACTATAAAAGCACAAAGGCCTACATTAAATAAATAAATAAATAAATAAATAAATAAATAAATAAATAAATAAATAAAATAGAAAAGAAAATTAAAAAAAGCACAAAGGCAAGAGTCAGGTTGGGGAATGTCTGACTCAGAAATATACAATCTTTTCATTCGGCAACCTCACGCCCTAACATTGTCACCATCATAATGAAACGAGAAGCAACCACATTTAACTGTCAGATCATCAGCAACCAGTAGTAGCCTCCAAAGTGTAAAAGACAAGGTAGATACTCAAAGAGGGACTGGGGAGGGAGCAGACAGAGAGCTCAATTTTATTCATATTCACCCAGTGTACTCACATGGACTTCCCAAAACGTGTGCACCCAAGGTCAGTAAGCCGTGGTGCTCACTGAACCAGTGGGAACAAGAATGTCTGTATTTGAGAAGGGCTATTCCAAAGTTAAAAGGAGTCCTCCTTTAATCCATTAAATACTTTTGCTCTGTCTGCCCAACTGCTACACCCAACTAAAAAGGACACACCTACAGAGGTAATTGCGCAAATGTTAGCATCAATTTTTTGAAGTGTTGGAATATTTATTTTTTAAACATTTTCTCCCTCAGACTTTTAAGCTGTTTGACTGAGCTACTCATTTACCATGGTTTCTCAGAGAATGTTCACTGGTAATTGAAAGAGTTCCAAAGGACTAACAAAATCTCACTTACTGATTATTTAAAACAATTCTTGTCATCTTGGCTTCCTAGAAGTTACCAGCTTCTCCCATTGCTCCAGCACATTTCCATCACCTGCCACGAGGAGAAGGGGTCCGATTAGTCACAGGGCTCAGAAAGACCATTTCTGGATTTCTACGTTCGTCTTTTCCTTTCTTCAAACCAAAACAGAGAGAAAAATAGTCATCCCTTCCTTTCTCTTCAAAACCAAAAAGGAAGGACAGAGTAACAGCAGAGAACACCCTAAGAGAGAAAAAGATTTCAAGAGCAGTATTTCAACAGCTGGGATTTGGGGTGGAGAGCCTCCTCCTCCCCCCTTCCCTGCCCCCCCTCCACACACACACAATGCCCTGCCTTATGCTTTTGGGAAGAGATTTTAGTCTGTTTCCTGAGAGGAAGCAGTATCAGACTAAGCCAGTTTTCTCTCTGCCTGCCCCAGCCCCTCCTTAAACTCTTCTGGAAGGTGAGTGACAGATTTGCCTGGCAGTGTGTGAAGAAGCACTAACTAAGGGCTCAGCCACGCCGAGCGCTGAGCGGCGCAGCCTGGGGCTCCCTCCAGCTCTCCAAAAGCCCGACTGATACTGGAGATCTAGGAGGCTGCTGGAGTCAAACACACATTTTAGTTTCAGACATGCTTGTGAGGTCTCCAGTCCTGCTTTACCAATAATTAACTGACCATCCATGTTGGTTCCCATTTGATCCTTGCTCTATTTCCCATGTTGTTTAAAACTTACAGAACAGGAAAGATCAATCATTAGGGAACCCAAACCACCAACATCAACAGAAGGACACCACACAGGCAAAACCTTGGTTCAAAGTCCTACCACTCACTAGCCACGCAACCTTGGCAAAGTCCATTCGTCTCTTCCCAGCCTCAATTTCTACTTTTCTGAAAGAGGATCGGATGCTCCCCACTATACTGTGTGGTTCAGAGGATTAAATAAGATGAAAGATAAAATCTGCCGAGTCAAGCATGCTTTGACCCAACAAGGGTATTATCCCAGAACCAGGGACACCCATGCTCAATGATCAGACTTGCTAACTTGTCCATATGTCCAGTCTGAATATTGGAGATTCATAATTCACAGAGTAATGTTATATGCCCAGCAAAGGGCCTTCCTTGTTCCCAGAGCAAGGATTGGTTCAGAATTGAACCATGCTTTACTTGGGTTTTTTAATTTCATAACATTTTAGGGTCCACAACCTAGGGACAAGAAGTTCTGCTTTCTTTCATTTCACAGAAGAACCCCAAATGAAAACACCCCACTTCCACCAGATACAATGCAACTATTACTCATTTTATGGGAAGGATATATGGCTCCAAGTGGATCAGACTTACAAGATAGGCACCTGCTACTCTACCTCACTTCCTCACCCGAAGCCTCAGTGTTGTCATCCCGAGAGAGGAGAATCATATTAATTATAAAAAGAGACACTGTCACCTCAGTTATAGAATAGACGGAAGCCTCAAGTTTTCCAAACCTGTAGGGTGCGTGTGTGCATGTGTGTGGGGTGGGGGTGAGAGTCTGGGGGCCACAGAGAAAGGAGAGAATGGAACAAATGCACGTAAATCCAGAAAGCCTCCTACTAACAAGGGAAGAACTTACCAACATCAATAAGAGTTAGCAGGGAAGGACTCAAGTCAGGGACTTAAGAGATCATACCCAACACCGAGAGGAAGGAGCCCTGTGCTCACCGGCTAGCAAGAGCCCTCTAGGCTGGTCACTTGGCGTGGAAGACTTTCAAAAAACCATGAACAGTGGAGGAGGTTTGACTCGGGCTGGACAGACAGGCTTGAACGACACCTCTGCTGTGTACCCGCGGAGTGGTGTTTGTCCGTTACTGAATCCTTCCAGAACTCAGTTTCCAGGCCTGGAAGAGAAGGACAATGACACACAGTGCGGAGAGAAGTTATGTAGACTAGAGAGAACACACACACAGTGCCCACCACAGAACCTGTCTGCAAGACATAACGGCAACTGCTGGGTCTACTAATACAAGTATGGGAGTCTATTAAATTCATGGCCACAACTGCAATTCTGGTCTACAGTCCATTGAATTCAGCCTCTTTCCCTATGTGAACATTGGGGAGAGGTCAAATCAGACTTCTGATGAGAACATCAAACTTTCCCAAGTTGTTCTGAGCAGAGTGTCCAATAAAAACGCCCGTCCTGGCGGATGACCTTTACTAACGTGCACGCAGAAACCTCTAACTGTGCACTTGTGACCATTCTGGACAGCAGCTCTGTGTTTCCTTTGTTGATGATTAATTCTTGAAAGAGGGAATGAATCATTTCCATCAGGGCTAATTCTTCTGGTGTGCAATGCCAAGTACTCAGCGGGCATCTGTGGGGAAGAACAGCCACACTGAGAATAGCAGGCAGCCTATCACCACGGCTAGATTCACATCCCAGCCTCATCAACAAGAGCACAGAATTGTCAGCGAGGCTTTCAAGAAAAAAAAAAAAAAAGACCCACAAGAAAGGCAACAGCAACTCTTATTTTTTTTATAGATTTCATTTATTCATTTGAGAGAGAGAGAGAGAGAGAGAGCACAAGCAGGGGGAGAGACAGAGGCAGAGGCAGAGGGAGAAGCAGGCTCCCTGAAGAGCAAGGAGCCCAACTTGGGGCTCGATCCCAGGACCCTGAGATCATGACCTGAGCCGAAGGCAGACACTTAACCGACTGAGCCACCCAGGTGCCCCAGCAACAGCAACTTTTAAACAGAACTTTCTATCTGAATAAAAGTGCTCCTTGCCCCCTCCTACATCATCTTCTTTGGGACTCACTCCGATGATGCTGACTGCTCAGAATAGGCTGACCACTCTTTTGCCTTCAAAACCCAATGCCCACGAGAAAAATCTGTTTCATTATGGCTTAGTCCTGATCTTTTTTTTTTAAGATTTTATTTATTTATTTATTTGAGAGAGAGTAGGGGGAGAGAAAGAGTGAGAAACAGCATGAGAGGGGAGAGGCTCAGAGGGGAAAGCAGGCTCCCCACTGAGCCAGGAGCCCGATGTGGGACTCGATCCCAGAACTCTGGGATCGTGACCTCAGCCAAAGGCAGTCGCCTAACCAACTGAGCCACCCAAGAGCCCCAGTCCTGATCTTTTTAACAAGACCCAAGTTCTTTGCTTTAGTGGAAAATATTTTAATAGGTTCGCAGAATCAAGTTCCTCCTCAAAGTTGGTAATTTGCCACCATTATGGCTATTCAAAAGAATAAACGACTTTAACAAGTGGCATGAATGAACTATCCACCTGGCAGCAGGCACTGTGCCAAATGCTGGGGGCGGGGAAGGGGTTATACGGTGGTGGGTGTGAAGTGCATTTACAAGAATGCAGTGTGGTGGTAACATCACCAGAACACAAGCAATGAACTTAGCTGATGCGCTTAAAGAGAAGGATCTGCATGTGGAAGTCCCGGCTGGGACTGCTAACAGCCCAGAACTTCTTGATCATGCTGCTTATACAATGTCAACATTCCACAAGAGTCACACAAAAACCTGCCCGAAAGGAACACACTCTGCGCTGTTTTGTTTTTTTAAGATGTATTTATTCATTTGAGAGAGAGAGGGCACACACGAGCAGAGGGAGAGGGAGAGAAAGTCCCAAGCGGGACTCCCCGCTGACCGGGGAACCTGACCCCGGGGCTCCAACTCGTGACCTGAGCCCGTGACCTGAGCCAAACCAAGAGTCAGTCGCTTAACTGACAGAGCCACCCGGCACCTCCACACTCCTGTTCTGAATGGACACTGTGTCCTCTAGGGCAAGGCCACGCCTGCTCCCCGAAGAGGAAGGGTCTGGCGGGCAGGCAAACTGAGAGCATGTGGGTGCCAAGACGTCCACGGACGGCACTTGCACGAAGGCTGTGGAAGCGGAGAAAGGCTCTCGTGCCCTACGATGTGTCATTTCGGACGATTAGACTCTTGCCTCCCAAGGAGCTAGTGTACTTCGAGGGGTCTGAGCCTCCTCAACGAGAGACAGTGCCCCACGGTCATTAAGAGCACATGCTCTGCAGTCGCACAGAACAACGCTCCCCGTCTGCCCGGAAGGCCTCAAGCATGGTGTTTAATTCCGCCAGCCTAGGGGTTTCTTCACCGAGAGAATGGGACTCCTAGCAGTCCCACAGCCCAGTGTCGTGATCGGGCTGAAAGACAACACGCCTGCAAACAGTTTCGTAAAGCTCATGGCAAACAAAAGACGCACGCGATCCTCATCCTGAGGAGGCAAAGCAGGGGCCTGGGCAATGTCACCAAAAAAGGGAGGTGTCCTCGTAAGCTCAAATAGGTTCCCACCACTTTACTAGGAGGCCAGAAAAAGGCTTAAAGAAACGTTTCATTTCACAATGAGGCACAAAGTGCTCCTGTGATCCATGCATACCCATCTTGGGAGCAAAGTGAGGGCAGCAGCCACGATCAGAGGTTTGCTGGCCAGTGGAAAACTCAGAAATGTTAATACTTGTCACAAAGAAACAAAACGGAATCATGCACTGGAGACTGCTCGGCTAATAAACGGCAGGGATGGGATTCAAACCCAGGCTGGCTTCGCTCCTGGTTCTTAGCCACGACACCGCACTATCTCCTAGTGAGGAGGAAGAGTCGTACTTGGAGACTAAGACACAGACGAGGAGCAGGCCGGAGAAAGGCAAGAGACAGCCCAAAGACGACCGAAGGCATAATGATACTGAAGATCAGTTAACGGGGCCAAGGAGTGAAAGGACCAAAGCCACTAACGATTCTAAATTAAAATCTAAAGCACAGTCACAGCAAAAGCCCCTAAAAGGACAACACTGGGAAAGGGAACTCACTTGGGAGGTCCACACTCGCATAAACACACCACGGGCCACAGAAACACAAAAGCTGGAAAGACCCCACTCAGGCCCTTTATAGAGAGCACATTATGACCTAGAAACACCAGCTAGGGAATGGGTCACACACTCAAAATACCAGCCATCCGGGCAGGGCCCCGACAGCCTGGGAGCTGCTCACCAAGGCAGAGCCTCCTGCCACCTTTCCCTTGCGTTTCTACAGCAGAAGAGAAGAGGACACACCTCTTTTATTTTATTTATTTCAATTTATTTATTTATTTATTTATTTATTTATTTATTTATTTATTATTTTATTTTACAGAGAGAGACACAGCAAGAGAGGGAACACAAGCAGGGGGAGTGGGAGAGGGAGAAGCAGACTCCCCGCGGAGCAGGGAGCCCGATGCGGGGCTCGATCCCAGGACCCTGGGACCATGACCCGAGCCGAAGGCGGACGCCTAACGACTGAGCCACCCAGGCGCCCCTAGTCTGCCCAACTTTAGCTTCAAGCCAGAACTAATGAAATCAGTGGTATCAGATATTCTGCAAGGACAAAAATGGGAACGAAATTTCCACATTATAAAGCTCCTACTTGTAAAAATCAAGCTCTGGAGCAAGAGAAAAAAATGACACTAAGGAAAGAGTCACATTAAAATTTCAATTCGAGAGGCGCCTGGGTGGCTCAGTCGTTATGCGTCCACCTTCGGCTCAGGTCATGGTCCCAGGGTCCTGGGATCGAGCCCCGCATCGGGCTCCCTGCGCCGCGGGAAGCCTGCTTCTCCCTCTCCCACTCCCCCTGCTTGTGTTCCCTCTCTCACTATGTCACTCTCTGTCAAAAAATAAATAAAATCTTTTTTAAAATAATAAATAAATAAAAGTTCAATTTGTTTCCAAAAGCAATGCATAGCATTTTCTGAGTAAATGGAGATGTCCCTAAAATACACTGCCTTTTTTTAAGGAATGATCCACTTTTTTTTTTTTTAAATAAATGTTAACCAGGGGAGCAAATCAAGAGGCCCAGAAAAAACACTTGTGCAAGGATGTCCATCCCGTTGCTTCACACAGACGTGCTCCTAAACCCATTGCTCCATTCCACAGATGCTTTGGGGTTACCTCCTGTGCCAAGGTCCTGTGGTAGGAGCTGGATACACAGAGCCTGTCTGGGCATAAACAAGTCACGCTTCCTCATATCTCTGGCAGAAGGAACCTCATCTGAACAAGCAAACACTGCAGACAGCATGTTTTGGTAGGCTGTTAAGAATGTAGACTGGAGTTCTCTCTTCTCCTAGAAACTCCTGTGTTTAAGGTAAATAGCAACTTGCTTTTGTGTGTACGGATAGCGCCCTGACACCAGCAGTGGGAGTTACCAAAACAGAGGGGTTGGACCTCCGTCCCCGGGCCACACCCCTCCAGGACTCCTGTCGTGGGACCCATTCCACAGCCGAAAAGCAATTAAAAAAAAAAAAAAAAAAGCGGTCCTTCACTCCACATTCTCCTTCCTCATCTCTTCCTCAGTACCAAGAATAAGCACATGTTTACGACAAAGCAAGGAGGAAGAAAGGCTTCTTTTCTCCTGTGCAGATGGCAGGCTTCTGTCCTCAGCACGTACCTCAGGCTCTCCAGGTCTGATCAGGACAGGACCTCAGGCAGCCGTGTTCTTCATGCATGGGGGGGCCCTGACGCAGTCCAACTAACACCGCAGACACACTGTTCAGCACCACGGGGCTCTTCCCTCAGTGCTTCATGGGCCCAGACTCACCGAAGCGGACATCCTCGTGTGGCAGAGGAGAAATCGAAGGCGGACTTGCTAAGAACACAGGTTACTCACGCGCCCACCCCGCTCTACAGAGCGCTGGCGGGGGGCCCCCCACACCCTGTGGCCTCAGCTTTGTGTCTGGAGCCTTCCCTGCACGAGGGGAGTGGTGGGTTTGGCCCAGACTCTCCTGAGGCCCTCCTGCCCGTAGACGGGAGCAGTGCAGGCTGCTCCCTGCCCATGAGGAGCGGGAGAAGGTCCAGAAAACCCTCTGGGCTCCACTCTTCTAATAAACCTCGGGAAGGCTAACCCCCACGGGTCCGCCCGCTGGTCCCAGGCCAGCGGAAAACAAGGGCGTCAGCCCACTCTCCATCCTCCCGAGACCTGACACAAGTTAAGTCTTAGAGCCCAAATGGGTAGCAAGATCTTTGTGCAAAAAGTAAATATTTATTTTACAGAACAGGAAACCCAGACCCAAAGGCACGCGAGAACACACATGACACAGCTCAGCACAGAGAGTCATTCGAGAATGCTCTTCTCGCTCACTGTCAAGAGGCATCTAAAGGACAAGGTCATTCCTCTACTTTCTTCTCCGCGTTGGATCTGAAAACACGATCTCCTTTCCAAATACATAAAATGGGCACAAGGAATCTTTGCTACCGTAGCGCCCAAGCGTACGTGGTGGAACATTCCGTGGCACCGTGGCCACACTGCTTTCACACGCCAGCATGGGCATGGCAGTGGTGTGGTTATCTTCAGGCTGGCGGAGCCTGCGTGGAGACTG